AAAAAAGAATGAGTTTAGGTTAATAGTTTAACCTTTTAATTTGTTGTACAGAAAAAAACTTTTTGTTCAAAAATCCTGTTAATATTTTTATGATATGTTTCACGATTGTATCTATGGAGAGGATCATATATTTTTATATGAGTTACGTTAATCTGTTTCCTAATCACAGAATCTTTGCATTCCAGGAATAAATCCCACTTGGTCATACTGGATTCTACTTGGCAACATTTTGTACAGCCTTTGAATTGATACCATGGAGATTAGTCTGTATTTTCTCCCAGCTTTATTGATCTCCCCCCAAGCTTTTCCTGTAGCCCCGTTTTTTCCTTTAAGACTCAGTGTAGTTGTCCTCTTCTTGATTCATTCAGCAATATGATCGAACACCTGTTGTGTATCAGGCACTAAGCAAATATTGGAAATAAGAGAATGAGCAAATACGTACAGATCACCCTTAGTCTTTTGGCAGTTACAGTGTTAAGTCTTGTTTCCTTTGGGAATTCACTGCAAGCTAAGTTTATTTCCTAGTCTCTCCTGTGTTTCAGTTCTCAAAGTGTGGCCCTTGGACCCCTGGGGTTCCCCAGATCCTTTCAGAGGATCTGTGATGTCAAAACTACTTTTGCAATAATACTGAGATATTTGCTCTCTCACTGTGTTGGTATTTGTGCTGATGGTGTAAAAGCATTGGTAGGTAAACCTGCTGTCCCCTTAGAACATATCGAGGCAGCACCAAACTGTACTGGTAATCACTATTCCTTACCACTGTGTACCTAAAATTAAAAGAAAAAATCATTTTGGGGCAAAAGTATAAGAGTCTTAAGTAGGAAGAACAGAGGGTTACTGGAGAGGTTCTGGGAGGGGGGATGGGCTAAATGGGAAAGGGACATTAAGAAATCTACTCCTGAAATCATCGTTGCTCTATATGCTAACTTGGATGTAAATTACAAAAATAAATTTTAAAAAATTAAAAATAAAGATCTATTACTAAAAAAAAAAGAATAAAAATTAAAAAAGAATAAAGATGTCCTTGATGAATCAGTAAGGACTATCAATCTTATTAAATCCTGACCACTGAGTACATGTCTTTTTAATATTCTGTGAAACAAAAGGAGAAGTGTGCATACAGTGTTTCTGCTTCTTGTCAAGGTATTGATGATTACCTTGAGGAAAAGAACCTGTGTAGTTGAGTTGTGAGCTGGATTTTTTGTTTTGTTTTTGTTTTTCATGGAAGACTCCCCTACCCCTTTCTTTTTCCTCCAAAGAATGACTGAAAGACCATAGTGTTGTTATTCAGGTAGAGGTATTTGGCGGATAATTTCTTTAAAATACTTCAAGGAAAACAACACAGTATTTCCTGGCAATGATAAAACTCAAGTATTTGAGTGAAATTCGAATTTTGGAAACTTTGCATCTGGCCTCATGAACTTGGCAGTTTCCCAGTATTAAAAGATCTTTCTGATGATATTGGTGGTGATATTAACAAATATATGTATATATGTGATTTAATTTTATATAATTAAATGTGTCAACATTACTTGTATAAATCAATGAACTAATATTTTTTCAAAAGACCAATGCTTTCGTGTTACACAATCAGGCACAGATAAGATCCATTCTAAGCACAAGATAGAGTTATGGATTTTAATGTTATAGAGTATGAAAAGTTTGTTGTCACAGCTTCAGATTCCACTTGAATGTTTCTAGTTTTAGTATAGCATCAAGGAAGACTATATATAGTTTTTTGAAAAGCTCTTAAGATACTCCTCCCTTTTCCTTCTGCCTATCTGTGAGGTTGATTTTATGTGTATACTTCAATGAAATCAATATAGTGCAACACATTGAAAGTCAGACTTTAAAAATACTTGCATAAACAGTGCCACTCTTCTCATTAAAGTTTGGGGGAAATATGTTTTTTTCATAAAGGTATGTAATTTATGTGAAATGAAATGGGTTTACTTTTTTATTTATTATTACTATTTTCTAAAGATTTTATTTTATTTTATTTATTTTATTTTATTTTATTTTATTTTTTTAATCTCTACACCCAGTGTTGAGCTAGAACTCAAATCCTGAGATCAAGAGTCACATGTTTTACTGACTGAGCAAGCCATGTGCCCCAATTTTGTTGTTATTTTTAAATGAATTAGTATTTAAACGTTTTTTCAGTTAAAATTTCTAGTATGGTTAACATTGACAGATACAACCCATATAAGTCAAACCTCTTTGGAGTCTTCAATAATATTTGAGTAAAGGGTTCCTAAGACCAAAACTTTGAGAACTACTACCCTATAGCAATCTGTCATTGTTCTTTTTAAATTGTTTTTTAAAATGGAGGTATAATTTACATATACTAGCAGTGCTCAGATCTTAAGTGTAAAGTCCAATGCGTTTTGATAAACAGATACATACATCTGCTTATCACTGGAGTGCACTACACATTGGATTGTAACTAACACTCCAGTCAGGTTATAGAACATTTCTATCACTCTAGAAAGTTCCCTTTTCCTTTTTTCCTGTAAGCCCCCCCCTCCACCCCATGTCCTTACTTGGAGGCAGTTTGGATTTCTATCACAGGAGCTGAATTTTGCCTGTTTTTAAAGTTTCACACAAGTGGATCCACATGGTATAGATTCTTTTATGCCTGGCTTCTTCACTTAGTATCAAAGATAAACACAGCCGGACATTAAAGTGGTGAATGGCTTATATTCAGTAACTACAGTAGGAGAAAGAACTGAGCTCCATTCCAAATTTTGCAGAGGTGATGGAGCCTTTAAAAGAGAGAATGGAGAAGGGGGGAGAGCAGGGGCCTCCTAGAGTCAGAGAAGTGAAAAATTACAAACCGTTAGTCGATGTAAATTACAAACCGTTAGTCTATGTAAATTCAATTAGGCTGCAGGATTTGGTAGCAGGCGGTTATGGAAGTTAGAATCCTCCCACTGAGACTGGGAGTCCTTTCTGCTGATTACATTTCAAAGGAATGGCTCTGGAGTCCTTGAGAAGGACCCTGCTGAGTTGTAAGAGATAAATATTCACAGTTGTAAGCCTTTTATAAATGCCCTTTATAGTAAATGCTTTAAGAATGGGAGGTTAAGGACCTATTGTTAGGTTTTGGTTGGAATGAACAGTAAATTCTCTTGGCTGTGTAGCTTTCCTCGGCAGGTAGTCTAATGCATTTGGGCGGGGTGATCCTCGGAACCAGGCTTACGCTGCTAGAAGTCCAGCTGTGCTATAGTTTGATTACTCTTGGCGCAGAGGGTTTAGATAGAAGTATTACATGCTGAGCGTTCTCCAGTTTTCACTTAATGTTTTTGAAATTCATGTTAATGCGTGAGTCAGTAGATCATACCATTTTTAAAAAATGTTTATTAGTTTTTGAGAGCGAGAGCAAGTGGAGGAGTGAGGGAGGACAGAGAGAGAGGGAGAGAGAAAATCCTAAAAAGGCTCCTCCCCTTGAGTGCAGAGCCTGTTTCGGGGCTTGAACCCATGAACCATGAGATCACGAACTGACCTGAAACCAAGAGTAGGACTCTGAAGCAGCTGAGCCACCCAGGCGCCCCAGTAGGTCACACCATTTTATCCCTGAGGAGTATTGCATTGTATCTTTGTTTATCTGTTATCAGTTGACATCCGGATTTTCATTTTGGGGAATCCACTGCTGTGAGCATTCTGGACATATGTTTTCATTTTTCTAGGGTTAATATCTGTCATTTTCTGTTAACCTGTTAACCTGGTCATCTCCTCGGTACCTGAAACATATTAGGTCCATAAGAATATATTTGAGTGAACTGGAGAAGAATTTGCATATGGAGTGTTGCCAAAAGACTGCGTGTTATGGTGCAAAGTCTACTACCCTGGCACTTATGACGTCTCAATTCTAGGCCCAGCTTTGCCCCTGAACAACAGTAGTCTTTAACTAGTCCCGCGATCTCTTTGGATTTCAGGTTTCTTTTTTAAAAAAATTTTAAAAGTAATCTGTACACCCAACATGGTCTGAAAGTCATAACCCCAAGGTCAAGAAGTTGCGTGCTCTTGACAGGCACCCCAGCTTTCTTCCTTATAATTTTTTTTTTAATGTTTTATTTATTTCTGAGAGAGAGAGAAAGATAGCATGAGCAGGGGAGGAGCAGACAGGGAGACACAGAATCTGAAACAGGCTCCAGCCTCTGAGCTAGCTGTCAGCACAGAGCCGGATGCAGGGCTAGAACGCACAAATTGCAAGATCATGACCTGAGCTGAAGCTGGACGCTTAATCGACTGAGCCACCCAGGCGCCCCCCCTCCCCCCCGCCAGCCCTCTTCCTGTAAGTGAGGGAATTATATTAAATAGGCTACAAGGCTTCCTTTAGCCTGAATATTCTGTGATCCTAAGTGGGAAGAATTGATAGAAGTCATGATACCAGTGAAGAGTAGACTGAAATTTTGAGGTAACAGATCCAGTGCGAGTTTGCTGTAGTAGCTGGTGTTGTTTTCCGGGTATTCCTGTGGGGATAGCAGGAAGAAGCTCCTAAACGTAGTGTTGAGTTTACCTTTTAAAAAAAAAATATTTTTAATGTTTGTTTACTTTTGAGAGAGAGAGAAAGCACGAATTTAGGGTTACAGAGAGGGAGACAGGATCTGAAGCGGGCTCCATGCTGACAGTAGAGAGCCCACCACGGGGCTCAAACTCCGCAAACTGTGAGATTATGACCTGAGCTGAAGTTGGACGCTTAACCAACTGAGCCACCCAGGAATTTTTTTTCAATATTTTATTTATTTTTGTTAGAGCAAGCAGGGGGAGGGCAGAGAGAGAATCTGAAGCATACCTGTGCTGACAGCAGTGAGCCTGATGGGGGCTTGAACTCCTGAACCGCGAAATCATGACCTGAGCCAAAGTCAAACACTTAACCGACTGAGCCACCCAGGCACCACAGAAGGATAATATTCTTAATGAACTAGAGTTTCTTGTGATTTGCAAGTTCAGTGGTCAAGTTCAATGACCTATGCATTTTCCCCTCTCTCCCTTAGATTTGGATCATACAGCAGATGTCCAGTGAGTATACCTGCAATTTAGGTCTTTGAAATCATGTTGTTAATAGGAAGTCTGATGTTTTAATCTCGATGTCCCTAATTTTATTTTATTATTTATTTATTTTTTAAAGTTTATTTATTTTGTGAGAGAAAAAGAGAGAGTGTGCGCACATAGATGCACACACAACCCGGGAGGGTCAGAGAGTGAGGGAGAGGGAGAATCCTCTCTGTTGGCACAGAGCCCGACGTGGGGCTCAGACCCATGAACTGTGAGATCATGACCTGAGCCGAGAATAAGACTTGGACGCTTAACTAACTGAGCCACCTAGACGCCCCTTGATGTCCCTAATTTTAATTCTCTCCTCCTATTTTGGTTCCTTTAACATGTGAAAATGATGGTTTAAAAGAACCCTTTATATATGTAATGTGCCATTACATTGATTGTCACCGTTGGTTTTATATTTTTCATGTTAATTTTATTTTGACTTTGCTGTCAAGTTTTCTCTCTTGCTGTGAATTTTATTACAAAGGGCATGAATGTATTTCTTTAGGTTACATGCATGGGGAGAGACCCTGGAGGAAGCATTTGAGCAATGTGCAATGGCCATGTTTGGTTACATGACAGATACTGGGACTGTGGAGCCCCTCCAAACACTGGAAGTAGAAACCCAAGGTAACCAATTTGTTCTCAGGGAAGAAATTGTTATGCAAATGTTCAATGTTCTCCATGATTGCAGTACATTTTCACAGTAAGAACAACCAAATGATCAGCCTGTTCTTCCTCTTTCAGCTAGCCTAAGAAATTCATTACACTCTTAAATCCAAACAAGTTTTTAGAGAGGAGAATCATTAAACATCATACTATCATGGTTCTTCTTGACCCTGTGTAGGAGATGACCTACAGTCTCTTCTGTTTCACTTTTTGGATGAGTGGCTTTATAAGTTCAGTGCCGACGAGTTCTTCATACCCCGGGTAAGCAAGAGTTTTTTTTTACTGAACAAACAGGTTCTAGTTCAGATTTTTTAAAAAAGTTTTTAAAATGTTTTATTTATTTTTGAAAGAGAGATAGAGACAGCATGAGCAGGGGAGGGTCAGAGAGAGAGGGAGACACAGAATCTGAAGCAGGTTCCAGGCTCTGAGCTGTCAGCACAGAGCCCGACGTGGGGCTCAAACCCACGAACCCACGAACCGTGGGATCATGACCTGAGCCAAAGTCGGACGCTTAACCGACTGAGCCACCCAGGTGCCCCTCTAGTTCAGATTTTAAAAGAACAAGTGATTGAGAATAGAATGTGTGATGCATAACCAAGCCATACAGATACATAAGATGATACTGATTTGCAGAAAACAGGGACTTCTTGGTTAACCTGCCTTTGACTAGTATATGCGTCTTGTAATATTTAGATCTCTTACCGTATACTTGTCACTAATCAGGATTGTGTGATAAGAATGCACCTGCTGTCTTCACCCACACTTTTTATGTCTCCCAAGTTTGAGCTATATTTATGTCCATCCCTATGTCCCTTTGTCCCATATGAAATTTAGCAGCTCTGCCATGTTGGCCTAAATTTAAAAATTGCTGTCAGTTTTCCTTAACATGAACAAGGAAAAGCCAAATGGAGATTGCTTGTTGCCATCAGCCTCTCGAAGGGAACCCGTGTCCAGCATCGTTGTTACCGCACACACACCTCTCCTCCTCACCCCGTTCTCTCCTTCCTCCCTTCTCCCAGCTCCGCTCCCTACGCTCTTCCAGCTCGCCCCTTGTCCTGCTGAGTTCAAGAGCCTACAGTGTTAGTTAAAAATGGGGCGAGAATGATTGAAATCCTGTATCATCCTATTCTGTTTTACAGCGAAAGTTCCTGATTCCTGTTTTGAGAGTGTACATTTTTCAACAACATTTCCCTTGACTATATAAAAAAACCCTTATTTCCTTGAAATATAATTAGTTTGGTGTTCCACTTTAGTTAACATTTTAGTTTTCTTTGCTTCAGGGAAGTTGTACACTGTTATTTTCTAGGAAAGGGAACAACCTAGACATACTTTTGTAAATTATAGCTGACATACAATATTATGTCAGTTTCAGGTATACAAAAGGGTATTTTGACAGTTGTTAGACATGTTTTAGTAGATGGTCTGTTATGAACATTTTTTTTTTAATTAAATTTTCTTTTCCTCTTTAGGAAGTAAAGGTACTTCATATCGATCAAAGAAATTTCAAAGTACGATCAATTGGGTATGTTTTGAAAATCTTTTAAGCAGCAAGTCATGAAAGATGTTGAAATTATATTCTTCACTAAACCTAGTGGGCAGGAAGACAGAAATGTTGACTCAGAGGTCCCATTGGATCCCAGTGGGTCCCTGCAGGTTAAGCTTCATGACCCCTAGGAGTGAGGACTTTGGTCCTCAATTTTGGAAGACCAGAAATTTGTCAGAACAAAGTTAATTTTGGTTCCTTAAAGTTAATTCTGATTCCCAATTTATTGATTTTTAAAAATGTTTACTTATTTTTGAGAGAGAAAGAGTGCAAGCATGGGAGGGACAGAGAGAGAGAGAGGGCGGCACAGAATCTGAAGCAGGCTTCAGGCTCTGAGCTGTCAGCACAGCAGAGCCCGATGCAGGACTTGAACCCATGAACTGTGAGATCATGACCTGAGCCGAAGTCAGACGCTTAACTGACTGAGCCACCCAGGCACCCCGATTTTATTTTTAGAGAGTGAGAGTGCGAACAGGGTAGAGGGGCAGAGAGAGACAATTTTAAGCAGGCTCCATGCTCAGTGTGGATTCCTATGCAGTGCTCAATGCCACAACCCTGTGATCATGAGCTGAGCCGAAATCAAGAGTTGTACGCTCAACTGGCTGAGCCATCCAGGCTCCCTTCTTTTAGGTTATTTCTATGTAAAACCTATTTTATCCACTTCATGTTGAATTTGATTCATTTCTTTTTGTAAAGTGAGATCTTCCATTCCTCCTCCTTTCTTTTTTTTTTTTAAATGGGTAAGGAATCAGGCTTATCCAAGGATACTTTCCTAATAAATGGCTGTACAGAATTTTAAAACTTTGTTCTTTTTACTACCACTACTGCTTCTCCAACTGTAATCTTCAGCCATATTCATATTGAAGGGAGAGAAGATGCTTAACCCAAGTTCTGGGAGAGTCCCCTTTTAGGGTCTTCTATCTATATACAGACCATGGACATTTTCTGAAAAGTTATAAAATGCAAACCAATTTAAGACCATACTACAGAGTGTAGTATTTTGCGTCTGTGATACTCAGGCCTACTTTCTCTAATGGGAGATAGTATTTAATTCTTTGTATAGCCTTAAGTACAGAGAAAATTTTGAACATGCTGCTGTATTATGAAACAGTCATTAAACTGTTTATTGAGAATCTGCTCCATGTGCTCTGTACTAGGGCACTTTTTTTTTTAATTACAGCATCCATCAGCCTTATTGAAATAGCTATAGCACATAAGTCCTTCAACATCTCCATTTACTGGCAATCAAATGGAAATTTATTTATTTATTGAAAGCATTTTTTAATGTTTATTTTTGAGGAAGAGAGCGCATGTGCATGAGTGGGGGAGGGGCATAAAGGGAGACACAGGGGCAGAGAGGGAGACACAGAACTCCAGACAGGCTCCAGGCTCCATGCTCCGCTCTGTCAGCACAAAGCCCAATGTGGGGCTCGAGCTCATGAACTGCAAGATCATCACCTGAGCTGAAGTTGGACACTTAACCGACTAAGCCACCCAGGGGCCTCTCAAACTGAAATTTAAAGGTCCCTTTCCCCTCCCATCTCTTGGCCTCCTCGTATCTTAACCACATTGATAAGGTTTATTTTAAAATGGGTAAAGGGAGAAGGGGCGCCTGGGTGGCTCAGTCGGTTGAGTGGCCGACTTTGGCTCAGGTCATGATCTCACGGTTTGTGAGTTCGAGTCCTGCATTGGGGTCTGTGCTGACAACTAGCTCAGAGCCTAGAGTCTGTTTCAGATTCTGTGTCTCCCTCTCTCTCTGATCCTCCCCTGCTCATGCTGTCTCTCTCTCAGAAATAAATAAAAACATTAAAAAAGGGGGGGGAGAACAGATACTAAACCTTGGAAGTCTAAATCATGTTTTAATTTTCCTTCTCAAGGTGGGGAGAAGAATTTTCATTGTCCAAGCACCCTCAGGTATGTTTAAATACAGCCATTAAAAACATTATCTACTTCCGTACTGTAAAGTCAGTATAGGCCAGTATACTTCAGCGAGTTCTTCTAAAATGGTGTGAAGCAGTAAGTTTTCCTCAGGCTTCCCTGACCATGTTATGTTTAAGCACTGACTCCACACATCTGATTTGGTGGACAGGGAATAGGGAGACAGCACTTGGGTTCCAGGGTCAGGTGTGTTACAGATTTTTGTGTGATTTAAAAGTCCCTTTGCCTTTTCAAGCTTCTGTATGTATCTCTCCCTGTAGTGAAGGTGTTGGACTGGATGCTCTTTAAAGTACCTTCTACCTTCTGTACTTCTCCAGACTCTGGATTTGCCAACCTTTAGGATCTGTGCCAGTCAAATCTGTATATAGGAATGGGGGCAGGCACATGTTCTCTGTAAAGGGCAAGGTAAGGTTTGAAGCTTTGTGGAACCACAGTTGACAGAAGAGCAATATTTGGCTCCTTTGTTATAGCACCGCTGCTGCCACAGGCCAGGCAGAACCAGATGAGTGTGGGTGTGTCCCAGTAAAGCTTCATGGACATTGAAATTTAGATTTCATATCATTTTCAAATGTCATGAGATAATCTTTTTTGGTGTCTCCCTCCACCCCAACCATTAGGCATGTAAAAACCATCCTTAGGCAGTAGGACTATACAGAACCAGGTGGCAGCCTGAATTTGGCCCATGATTTGCAGTTGGCTGAGCCCTGTGTTTAGGCCCAAGAGACGCAAGTTAGTCGAGGGTGACTGGGAAGTTCTGGTTGCTTCCAGTAGCTGCAGTATCATTTCGTCAAGCACAACGTAATGAAATGAAGCCTGGTGAGGGAACCTCAGGAGAGAAGCTTAAAAAGAGAGAAACCACTAGAGGGGTTGTGTGAATTACAATACAAATGACACACGGAATTTTCTTTTGAACATCGTACGTGTGAGGTATAGATTAGACATCTAAATGGAGATGTCCCATAGTAGGCATTGGTCTGTAGAATGACTTGTTCAGGAGATAGGTATCTCTGGAAATATAAATCTGGGAGCCACCACTGAACAGAGGATATTTATAGCCATCGGGCTAGATGAGATTACCAAGGCCGGGAGGATAGATGAGAGTATAGAGGGGACTGAGCCCTGGGGCACTAAGTGTGGAAGAGACAGAGCCAAAAAGGAAAAGAGGAGAGCCTCATGGAAGGGAGCAAAAGAACAGGGCATGCCTAAAAGCCAGCTGTCTAATGACCTTGAGACTGCCCAGAGGTTGAGTAAGATGAGGACTGAGAATTGACCATGGGTTTCCTCTTCATTGGAAAGATGTACGGGTCAAAGAGAGAATGAAAGATAGGAAAGTGGAGGCAGTATATTGAGACGGTTCTTTTGAAGGGTTGTCAGAAGAGGGGAGCAAATGCATAGAAGAGTACTGGCCAGGGCGAATGTGGCTGGAAAGGGAGAAGTATGGTTTTATTTTTCTCTTTTGTCTAAACTGTGAGGTTTTGTGGCACCCATGTATGCTGTGTGGAAGTGATCTAGGAACTCTGGGCAAATTGATCATGTTGGAGGGGGAGAGAGTAATTTCAAAACAAAGATCTGAAGTTGGTAAAGTGGGGTATGGGGTGGAGTGCTCAGGTACAGGAGCTGACCCTCTGATGGGCGCAGGGACAGGCTTTCTTTGTAAATAGGAGGAAAGGCGAATGTGAGCATAGATGGAGAGGAGAAGCCAGTTCGTACTGATTGCTCTTGTTTTCTCCAGGAGGCGTGGTCTGAGGGTGAGAATGAGGGAGGAATCCTAGAGGCAAAGATGGAAAGTAATTGTTTCAGAGAGTGGGCAGGTGAATTTAGTGGCAATTGTAGGGTGACTAGTGAGTGCTGAGTACCCTTTTGAGATTGTGGATGTGATTTACAGTGACACCACTTAGTATGGTGTGTGCTGCCGTAGGCAGAAAGTTGAATTTGGTTGTGGTTTCACCAGGTGATGATGGTGGAGGGAAAGAAAAACAAAGGTGGTTGTCATTCAGATCCGTCTGCGAAATCTTTCGATTTCTTTTGTGACATAGAGCTAGCAAATGCCAGTCGCCTATTGCCTGACATGTTTTGTGCTGCACAGAATTATTGTGGATTCTTTTCTAGAATGGGAAGGAACTAAGAGAGCATCTGATCCTGTGGTTCTAAACCAGGGCAGGCGAGGGGGATTGTCACGTGTCAGACATGTGGAGAGAGAACCCCAGGAGGTAAAGCGAGTTGGCAGCTGAGGAGGAGAGAAGAGTCTGTGCTCTTAGGGCCCAGATTAGACCGGAAGGAGGAAGTCTTGAGAAGGAGCCCTGAGCCAGACCGTAGGAAAGCTTCACGCTCCTTGATCCAGTCCACTTGGTAAATGATAAAGCGGGTGCTGGAGAGGTTAAGGGAGCCTCCATTTCAAGGGGGAAACAAAGGCAGGATTAGAGCCCCATCTCTTACCTCCCAATCAGGGCTCCTTCCCTGTGCATCTGTGGCTTCTCATTTTTACCGGATGACTGTATAATGCTGTACAAATAACTACTTGTTTCCCATGAGCTCTTAATTTGTCAGAATAATAGTAAAATTTGGCCTTTCTGTCTGTTATTGCTAGAGTTACTGATTCTGATTTAGATTTTCATTTTTTCCTGTTTGTTTTTTCCTCTAACCCCAACTTTAGGGAACTGAAGTCAAGGCAATAACGTACTCAGCAATGCAGGTCTATAATGAAGAGAAGCCAGAAGTTTTTGTGATCATTGACATTTGAGATACCAAACAAACAGCAAAACCCCCTCCTATGAAGAACTGTTGGTTTTTTTTTTTTCTCTTCTTTTTAAGAAGATACCATGATACAAATTCTTCAGTATCTGTTGATATATATGGAGATTTGCAGAACAGAACTTTTTTTTTTTTGGATGTTTATTTATTTTTGAACTAGAGAGACTGCGAGCGGAGAAGGAACAGAGAGAGACAGAAGATCCGAAGCGGGCTCTGCACTGACAGCACAGAGCCTGATGTGGGGCTCGAGCCCATGCACCGTGAGATCCTGACCTGAGCCAAAGTCAGATGCTTAACCGACTAAGCCACCCAGGCACCCCTGGAACAGAACTTTTTAAATTAAAGTGTGACTTTCGGAAACAGAACATTAAGGTGCAGTGTTGGTCCATGTTACCCAAATATTCAGACTTTAAAGAATTCTTCAGGTGGCTAGTATGACTTCTCCTCTCTTAGTCCCCTGCGGTGGTCGCAGGTGCCTCCTACCCTCCTAGTGAAACGTCCTGCCTGGTCCCCAGAGGGACCAGTGATGTCAGCAGCAGCCCGAGGCACTCTGAACCTTCCATAGTTTTATCGAATTCAGTTTGAAAAAAAATAATTTTATCAATAATAAAATAATATTAATAATTTAATAATAAATCCTATAACCAGGAATTTGCTTTTTTTCAAATTAGTTAACACATATATTTCCTATATATACATTAAGAGAGGTTTTGTTTTAGATTCCCATGGGACAGAGCCATCCTGTATGCCCCTCGGTTTTCTTAGAAGAAATAAATATAGTTGTAACAGTTGGAAGACTTCTCTAGAAAGAGTCCTGAGTTTCTCTCTTTCTCACTATTGTATAGCACTAATGGAGGGACACTTTCCTATTTTCTCATAAGAAAAAGTCAGTACCCTTATAAATGAGCCCTTCCAAGGTCACCTGGGTGGCTCAGTCAGTTAAGTGTCTCACTCAGCTCAGATCATCTCATGGTTCACGGGTTTGAGCCTTGTGTCGGGCTCTGTGCTGACAGCTCAGAGCCTGGAGCCTGCTTCAGATTTTGTGTCTCCCTCTCTTTCTGCCCCACCCCTACTCTCACTCTGTTTCTCTCTCAAAAAAAATGAATAAACACTAACTGTTTTAAATTAAAAAATGGGCCCTTCCAACATGTGATTTTATTTTGAAGCTCATATATGTATACAGCTGGAGAAGAAAAGAACTGTCTTACATTTCTTGTGTTTTTCTGATTACCTGAGTTCTTTGTTGTGGGAAAAACCATGTTAAAAATGATCTGAACTTCTCAAAGTAGGTAACTTAATGAAACTGCTTCTGTTTGATTTGCAGCATTATTCTATTCTCTGTTCATTGACTGAGGTATTTATTGCTACCACAAGAATTTGCAAAGTTGCTGTTTATTCACACACACGGGAGAAAAGATTGCCACTGGGTGGTGCCAGATAGCATTACAGCATGCTCCATTTGACCTAACGTGAAGAGATTGTCCGTGAGCTTCCAAAGTGTTCTCAGCACTGTATTTTTTTGGTCCTCTGGGTGTTTAACAGAAAGTAGGGCTAATGGACACTAGGCCCTGAGTCTGCGGTTTTGCGGAGTATTTCTTGAAGTGAGTACACAGCAGAATTGCTGGAGTGGTGCTTCTTGCCCTTCTGTATCTTGAGGCACATTTTGTTAATTTGAACTGTGGCCCTCTAAGCAAAAACTGTCTAGAAGAACTTCTTTACCTCTGTCAGGATGAATTTCCAGGCTAACCTAGGGCCCTTCTTTTCATGGACCCCTTGGAACATGATGGGCTATTTGGGGCATTGATTGTGAAAATGAGCAATGGGATACTGTTAAGTCCAATGGAAGAGCTGAATCCAGGATAAGAGCTCTTGGGATGCACTAAGCCTTAGTACTAAGTTGTACGAAGGTACAAACCTGACTAGGAAAAAACAGGTAGCCGCACCTCTTACTACCAGTGCTGTGTAATGGGGTTCAGTAAAAGCAAGTCAGTTTTAATTACACAATACAAATTATATTTCTTTTTATTTATAATAAATTTTTATTTATATTTATTTATTTTTAAATGTTTTTATTTGTGAGAGAGAAAGAGAGACCGCATGAGCAGGGGAGGATCAGAGAGAGGGAGATACAGACTCTGAAACAGGCTCCAGGCTCTGAGATGGCTGTCAGCACAGAGCCTGACGCAGGGCTCGAACCCACGAACCACGAGATCATGACCTAAGCGAAAGTCGGACGCTTAACCGACTAAGCCACCCAGGCGTCCCATATTTATAATATATTTTTAATGTATTACTATTTTATGTGAATTTTGAAATGCAGTTTGTGTTAGTTTTTAAATATGCCAAAATGAAGATAACTCAGTGGAAGGAAAATGACTATGTTCCCTTTTGTGTGTGAAGGTGGCGCTCCTGACCCCGCAGCAGCACAGAATTTATTTGTTTTGTTTATTGTGATGGTTGTGCCAGTCTCTCCCCCAACGCTTCTAGTTTCAGGTATGTGTCTTGGCCTCGGGAGCATGCTTTTCTCCTTTGCCAAGCAGTTCTCCCGCCCCGTGACAGCGCCACTCATCTTCACCTTTGTGCCTTATTCTGCTGTGTGGGCTGTCTTGCCCATTTCCAAAAACGCGAACGGCACGTTCACTGCCCACGGAGTCGCAGAGGTGAAGTGAGTGAACTCTCGGTGTTTCGCTGAGATTTATGCAGTGGCCATGGGGCAGCTGCCTCTCAGCTCTTGCCCTTGTTGCTAATGTGCATACAGGACTAGCGCTGCAGTGGTCATGACACTCCAAAATTGGGAGTCTTACGTGAAAGCTCCCAAGTTTGGAGGAAAGAAGAAGAATGAAAAAAACCCACTATAGATCATCACAATGGAAAAACAAATTGTATGTGGGCTAAATCTCCTCCATAGGTTGCTGTTTGGAAAGCCCTGCTTTAAAGCACAGCTCAAGGGGCGCCTGGGTGGTTCCGTTGGTTAAGCATCTGACTCTTGATTTCCTCTCACAGTTTGGGAGTTCGAACCTTGCCTTGGTCTCTGTCTGCTTCCAAAGGAAGCAAGGAGCCTGCTTCGGAATCTGTCTCCTGATTTCTCAGTCCCTCCTCCCCTCCCCTCCCAAATAAAAATAAAATTTTAAAAAGCACAGCTCAAGTCCTGTCTTCTTGAAGCCTTTACCTTTTGTCAGGATGAATTTCCAGGCTAATCTGGAAGAAAGCGTGCACACGAGTCAGGGAGGGACGGGGAGAGTGAGAATCTTAAGTAGGCTCCTTGCCCAGCACATGGGCTCATCACCTGAGCCAAAATCAAGAGTCAGACGCTTAACCGACTGAGTCACCTAGGTGCCCCATATCCTTCCGGTATTTCTATATGTGGTGTCTGCATTTTACAAATATAGAAATTAGTAACACCTAGACCCATATGGCAGTTAAGGGGCAGATTTGAGACTCTGACTCTGTTCATTGTCTTCATACAACATCCTTTAATAGATAACAAGTCACGTGTATGTAATGATCCTGTGAGGTCAGTATAGGAGCTATTACTCAACGTTTTACATATAAGGAAACACTTCATGTTTGGGTGATATTTCTAAGGCATAACCCAAAAAGAGATCACAGACAAAGATTGTGCCATTCTCAGACACTTATTCTGGAAGTTCAAAAGCTAATGTTATTTAGCAAAAACATTTGAACTGTAGAAACATCTGGTTTCTTAGGACAAGACAGTAAATAGTGGATTTCTATTGTTTCTTCCCACTGCCAAGTAAATATACAACTGTGTGGGGTTTTTTGTTTCTTTAATTTATATCTCTCTATTTTTAAGAATTTTTTAACATTCATTGAGACACTGGGAGAGAGGATGAGAGAGAATGAGTGGAGGAGGGGCAGAGAGAGAAGGAGACAAGATTCTGAAGCAGGCTCCAGGCTCCACGCTGTCAGCACAGAACCCGACGTGGGGCTCGAACTCACAGACTGCGAGATACATGACCTGAGCTGAAGTTGGATGCTTAACCAACTGAGCCACGCAGGCGCCCTTGTATTTACATATTTTTAAGTAGGCTCCACACCCAATGTAGGTCTCGAACTCATGACCCCAAGATGAAGAGCTGTACACTCCACTGACTAGGCCAGCCAGGCCCCCGTGTGTGTGTGTGTTAAACTGCCTCCAAGTATAAATGTTAAGGACATTAGAGTCATCGATTCTGATACCGACTCTCATTCTTTAACTGTATGACCTTGGGACATTTCCTTAACCTTTCTGAGGCGTAGTCTCCTCAACGCTGAAATGGAGAGGATGACTACTGAAGTGCGAAGGACGGCACGTGACACAGAGTAAATGCTCTGTGAGGGCTCGTATTATTGCTTTGACAAGCATAATAAATGCTAACAGCCTCTTCCTTTTCTTCTTATTAAAAAACCAGTGTACAGTGTTTGGTTAGGGGGTGTCACCACCCTAGTAAACCACCCTGGTAGCCAGTGCATTGCTGCTAAGGTCTGTGTTTACGAAGAAAGAGAAAAAAAGCCGCTTCTTTCAGCTTCTCCCCTCTCCTGTTTTCTCTTTAGACTTCTTTTCCCTTACTGCTTCTTTATGCCAAGTGTTTCCTGTTTAATCTAATTTTCTTTCTTCCACATGTGAGTTGAGCATCCATTTTCAAAAGCTGTGCCCATCTCTTTATGCCAAACCAGTTGCCCTTCTGAGGAGCTCCCTTCCGCTCTTGTCTTCTGGATTTCCTTGTAGCTCACAGCATTAAACATTCAGGGGTGTATCACAATGAGAAGGAAGATGAACAAGTTATTGGGTGACATTTTCTGCCTTTATCATTGTTCCCCCAGCCCCTCCGTAGCCCTCTTCAGGACCAGTGCACTTCATCATAATTAGTCAACCAGCTAAGCTTACATAACTCACCAGTTCTGACCTTTGATTTTTTAATCCAAATTGCTTTTTTCCCAATGTTTTATTCATTTCCGAGACGGAGAGAGAGAGACAGTGTGAGCAGGGGAGGGTCAGAGAGAGAGGGAGATATAGAATCGGAAACAGGCTTCAGGCTCTGAGCTAGCTGTCAGCACAGACCCCAATACGGGGCTTGAACCCACGAACCGTGAGATCATGACCTGAGCCGAAGTCGGATGCTTAACCGACTGAGCCACCCAGGCGCCTCCCC